GAGCCCGGGGTCTGGGGCTCTTCCTCCCCGGCGGAGGGATCCACGGCGGCTGAGGAGGCGGCACTGAGCCTACGAGGAAGAGGCGGCTACGGCGGCGGCGGCTGTGGCAGCAGCGCATAAAGGGGCCGCCGCCGGGTGATGCGGTGACCGCTGCGGCAGGCCCAGTAGCTGAGTGGGCCTCGGCCCTCAGCTCGTCGGATCCGCGCTTCGGAGCTCCCGGTCTTCTCCGGCCGACTCGCGACCGCTCGGGCGGTCTCAGGCCCCCCTCGCCCCTTCCCCGTCCCTCCCCCGTCCCCGTCCCCGCCCCGGGGGCCGTCGCCACCGTTTCCCACCATGGCTCTGAAGAGAATCCACAAGGTAAGCGGCCAAGGTGTTGCTGTGGGAATGGGCCGCTGGGAGAGCCCGCTGAGTAGGTTGCGGCCTGCACTTCCCGCGGTCGCCTCTGCTGGGCTCGCGGCGTCTGCTTCCCGCTGCCGGCGCCGGCCCCACGGGGCGGCCTTCACACCCCACTCCCAGAGATGGCGCCCGCGAAGGCCGGAGCGCGGGGACCCTGTTAGGCCGAAGTTGCTCCGGTTCTCGCAGTCGTCCACCCCGACGCCTTTCCAGGCCTCCCTGCAGCCTGGGACTTGGTGCTCTCTAGGGCTATTGTCCGCCTGGGAAGGGGACTTGGGCGCGGGAAGGGGGGGTGGGGGGCAGCGACTGGGGCGTTGGGCGGCCCTATGGTTTGAGGTCGATAGGGCGGCTTGTCCAATCTCTGTCCCCCTACTCGGGCGCCCTACCCTGAGCTCCCTGAGATCGAACACCCAGACAGGGCGACCGGAGGGTCCCTTTGCCCGATCCATGACTGTTTCCTTGAGTTCACTTAACTCTTGGGCAGCTGGCAGCACGCTGAAGTCCTCCTTACTGGTCTGGAAAGTCAGAGGGAAGAAAATGCCCCTCCGGAGGGAGGAGGGGGTTAAGTGGAGAAGCGTTGTGTTCCTCGGGGTTGCCGCATGTCGTCGGAGACTAACCCTTCAGTTTTGCAGGACTGAAGCTAGTGGAACAACTGTTTACCTGGTAGGGTGAAGCCAGGCAGTTCCGAAAACCGAACGTTGAAAACCGCCGGAGAAAATTCCTTTCACAGACTTCTCCCAAAATGTTTTTAACGCTAAAATTAGACGGTATATTCGTAAAGACCTAATTTAGAAGGGATTTTACTCGATTTTTGATTAGAAATAATTTCTTAGTTCTTCTAAACGAGAGGTTAGCCATTTAGTTATTAAGATTTAGTATTAGGAGAGCATAGGCTTCGTGTAAACTTTAGTGCCCCCAATATTAACCTCTCGGTGTCACTATTATTTTTTTCTTTGGACGTAAGAAGTCACCCACTTTGAATTTTGTTTGGTATTTTATTAGTAAGTGGTAGGGCATGGGATTACCCATAAGGGCTGATAGGATGGGGTCACAAAGAATGGAGAACGAAGTCAAAATGCAGATTGAAAGATGGAAAACCACAGTTCAGCAATTGGTCCTCGTTTTATTCTTTATTCAAGACTTGGAATGTGGAATTAATTCCATTTCTTACCGTGAATTAGCACCTTACCAACTTTTGTTTTTTGTTTTTTTTTTTTGAAATCAAAGGATGGGCTTTAGCAATAAGTCTTGTACTAAAATGAAGCATGATCTTTGCTAAAAGAAGAATGGACTTGGGGCTGGAGAGATGGCTCAGCGTCAGCGTTTAAGAACAGCACTGACTGTTCTTCCTGAGGACCCATGTTCAACCAGCACCCACATGGCAGCTCACAACTGTGGCTCCAGTTACAGGGGGTCTGATACCTTCACACCAATGCACATAAAATAAAGATAAATAATTTTTTTAAGTATGAGCTTAGTGAAAGATCTCTTGAAAAACCATGTAAAGGATAAACATCCAAGTAATGTGTATGTATCTTCTCTCTCTCTCTCTCTCTCTCTCTCTCTTTATCTTTTCTTGACGGGATTTCTCTGTGTAGCAGCCTTGGTTGTCCTGGAACTTACTTTCTTTGTAGACCAGGCTGGCCTCAAACTCAGAGATTTTCCTCTCAAGAGCTGGGATTAAAGGCACCTGCCACTGCCACCCAGCATGTGTATGTATTTTAAGGACTTTAGCAGTCATAGGGCCTTATAGAGTCTAGTGGGAAGTTATCAATTTGAGTTGCCATTTGAGTTATACCTATAGAAGATCCCCCAAAGCTGGGAGATAAAGTGAGTTTGATGTGATAATTTTCAAAGATTCTTAATTTTTTTTCCTTAAGGTAGGGTCTTCCTAGCTCTGTTGGCTTGCAACTTACTGTGGTGAAGATTAGGCTGGCCTCAAACTCCAAGAGCCATCTGCCTCTATCTTCAGAGTGCTGAGATTAAACCAACAAGTTAATAGCTTTTAGTGTTTGTATTAATATCTGTGCTATAGAGACTTCTTCAGAGAGGGCGATAACACTGACTCAAAACATACACTTAAGTCTTAAAATAACGTTTGCCCCCAGCTATTTTTGAGATAGGCTGTCACTGTTCAGATTGGTATTTATTCTCAGTACTGGGATGCAGGCAGGTACCACCACACATGTCTTCACTTTAAATCTTTTTGTACAGTACATGGGATTGAGCCCAGAATCTTATGTGTGCTAAGGCAAACACTCTACCACTGAACTACATTCCCAGTTCTTATAAATCTTTAAAAAGAAAATCAGGTTTAGAAATGATCACTTGACCTTAAAAATATTTGTGTGTGTTTCACCCATAGCCCTCACTTGAACTATTTTACACCTTTCCATGGGTCCTAGAGATTGAGTTTTTGTTTAGGGCTTCTCTTTGTAGCCCTGGCTGTACTGGAACTTGCTTTGTAGACCACTCTGGTCTTGAACTCACAGAGAGCTACCTTCCTCTGCCTCCTGAGTTTTGGGCTTAAGGATGTGTACAACTATCATTTGGCTATTTGTTTCAATAAACCTTTAAAAATTATGTGTTTTACTTGTGAATGTTTTGCTTTCATGCATCTGTGTGCTCACTGTATATGCCTGTTGAATCACCCGGAAATAGAGTTAGAGGTGGTTGTGAGCCACCATTCGGGAGCTGGGAATCCAATCTGGATTCTCAGCAAGAACAAAAATAATCTTAACAGCTCAGCTGTCTCAGTCCCCCAGCTGTTTTCCTGATACAGGTTAGCATGAATTCCAATCTGACCTGAAACTATGTAGGGGGGCATGACTTTGAATTTGTGCTCCTTCAGCCCCTACCTCCTGAATACTGTGACTGTAAGCATGTGCCACCCTGTTAAGTTTTAAGTGGCCCTGGAATCAAACCCAGAGTTTGAACTCCGCCATCTGAGCTGCATTCTTAGCTCAGTATTTTTAATTCATATATGTATCTCTCCATCCCCATTTAGTAACCTAGAACCTTTGTTGAAGTCAAGTATGGCTTGACTTTTCTTAGACTGCTAAAGACTAGAAAAACCCTTTTTTATTTTCATCAAAATTACTGTGAAAACAAGCAGAAGTTGTGTTTCTCAAACTTTTTTTCGCATGGCATATATAGTTTACATTGGCTTAATGGGTACAGTTAAAACCATTCCTATCTTATCCTCCGTCCAATATATCTGATCTGGAATCCCAAGAAGACTTGCTTGGTCTGTATAATCAGTCTTAGTGTTGCCTTTCCTATTGTCAGTCTCTGAAAAGAGCTATTACTTAAATATCCCTTCAACCTCAAATGTCATGAAGTGTTTTTTTTTTCCTTTTGTTTTAAAGATTTATTATGTATGCAGTGTTCTGCCTGCACACCAGGAGAGGGTATCAGATCTCATTATAGATGGTTGTAAGTCACCATGTTGTTGCTGGGAATTGAACTCGGTACTTCTGGAAGAGCAGTCAGTGCTCTTAACCTCTGAGCCATCTCTCCAGCCCATCATGAAGTGTTTTATCTGGTTCTAATAGAATTCTTAAAATTTTACCTCATTTGACAGGAGGCATCTTTAGAAATTCAGTATTTTGCTGGATGGTGGCACTTGGGAGGCAGAGGCAGGTATATATCTGTGAGTTCTAAGCCAGCCTGGTCTACGGAGCAAATTCCAGGACAGGCTCCAAAGCTAGAGTAACCCTGCCTTAAAAGCCTCCCAAAAATAAAAAATAAGAATTCATTATCTTACTTCTTTGATATATAATACAAATTTTTGTCTGAATTTGGTACTTTTTGTCTGAATTTTGGTATGTATTTTTTATTCTTTGAATTTCATAAATACGTAGTCTGTTTTGGCCAAATTTACAGCACTTTTTATTTTCACTGCTGAGGATTAGACCAAGGGCCTCGTACATTCTCAGCAGATACCACACTACTGAGCTACCCCAAGTCCTGGAAAAAACTTTTGATGGGCATTATTTTGATGTATATCTTAGAGATTCCTTAGCTAGTCTTTAGCCAAAATTTACCATGGAGACACATTATGAATAGTATGGTTCTAGCACGGATTTTAATTGTGTGTGCGCATGTAGGTCTTCATGTCCGTGTGTCTGTGTCTATACCAAATGACCTTCTGTGTTTTAGTTTTCTGCTGACTTTATAGGTTTTGATGCTTTGAGGCCTGCCTGCCTCTTCTAGTACCACCCCCAGCCCTTTTCCAGTTGGCTGCATCTCATCTGTTGTGAGCTAAGAAACCAGATCACAGAGCTTATTAAAATTGTGTCTAAAATAAGATCCAGTAGGCTTTGAGTGAAGAAGGTTTCATGCGTTCTCTGAACTGTATGGTCTCTTTGACTGATCAAAGACCTTTTTGACTTCCTGTTTTTCCTTTTACCTTTAGTTGTAAAGATGCAGGTGCCCTTGTTGAAATACAGGCTTAATTTTTCTGTTTTTGAGAAGGTTAGCAGGTTGAATATTTTGATTCCTCCAGGAGTTGTAGATTGACAAAAGAGAAGGTACTTAGTCTTGGGGGTGAAGCTCAGTAGAGAGAGTGCTTGACTAGTTTGCAAAGCCCTGTTTGATTTCTAGCACTTTGGGTGCTTCTGTAATCCCAGAACTGAGAAGATGGTGACAGGAGGCTCAGAAGTTCAAGGTCGTCCTCAGCTACAAATTATATTTGAGGGCAGTCTTGGGTACATAAGATTCTTTCTTAATAAGTACTTTAAAGCCCAATAATTCCCTATATATTTTAATGGTGTCTTGATAGTTTAAGGTTTGTGTACATAGCTTTGAAATATAGTAATGCCATCATTGATCCATATCTAAGGCAAACTTCTAAGATCTCTTAGGAGACAAAGTTCTCAGTTAAAAAAAGGTTTTGAACTCAAGACAGATAACTATAAAGTAAGCAAGGAGAATGAGGGTGCTAGAAAATAGGGCATCTGCTA